CCCCACTTCCCTCCTTCATCCTGGGCCATAGTTGTGATCTATTCTTCATGTGAAAGTATGAGTGATTATAAATTGGTTTCATAATAGTACTGAGTACACTGGATATTTTTCTTCCATTCTTAAGATACTTTATTAAGTAGGATGTGTTTCAGCTCCATCCATGTAAACATAAGAAGAGGTAAAGTTTCCATCCTTTTTTAAGGCTGCATAATATTCCCTGATATAGTTATACCACAATTTATTAATCTAGTCATGGGTCGATGGGTACTTGGGCTTCTTCCATGACTTGGCTATTATGAATTGAGCTGAAATGAACAATCTGGTGCAAATATCTTTGTTATAATGTAATTTTTGGTCTTTTGGATATGTACGTAGTAGAGGAATTGCAGGATCAAATGGCAGGTCTACTTTTAGATTCCTGAATATTCTCCATACTTCTTTCCAAAAGTGATTATCTTGCACTCCCACCAGCAGTGCAGAAGTGTTCCCTTTTCTCCACATCCATGCCAACATCTGTAGTTTTGGGATTTTGTTATGTGAGCCAGTCTTATAGGAGTTAGATGATATCTCAAAGTGGTTTTTATTTGCATTTCTCTGATGATTAAAATGATGAGCATTTTTTCATGTGTCTGTAGGCCATGCACCTGTCTTCTTCAGAGAAGCTTCTGTTCAAATCCCTTGCCCACAATGAAATGGGATTACTTGTTCTATTCTTAAGTTTGAGTTCTCTCTGGATTCTAGTTATCAAACCTTTGTCAGAAGCATAATCTGCAAGTATCCTTTCCCATTCTGAGGGCTGTCTACTTGCTTTACTTACTTTGTTCTTCGCTGTGCAAAAGATTTTTAGTTTGATCAGATCCAGTAATGTATTTTTGGTGTTACTTCAATTGCCCAGGGGGGTCCTCCTCATAAAGTAGTCTCCCAGGCCAATTTTTTCAAGTGTTTCTCCTGCACTCTCTCCAAGAAACTTTATAGTTTTATGTCTTAAGTTTAAATCTTTTATCCAGTGAGAGTCGGTTTAATGGTGAAAGATGTGGGTCCAGTTTCAGTCTTCTACAAGTCACCAGACCATTCTCCCGGCACCATTTGTTAAATAGGGAATCTTTCCCCCAAATTGGAGGAAAGATATCTATATAGATATAGATATAGATATAGATTGTAAATATATTATTTATATTTTCGATGGGCTTACCAAAGATCGAATGACGATAGAGATGAACCCAGACTTTGTTGGAAGGTTTTTAATTGATGCTTCACTTTCATTGCTTGATATTGGAGTTCCATTTCTTCCTGATTGAGCCAAGGGGGTTGTGTGTTTCCAAGAATTTGTGCATTTCCTCAACATTTACCAGTTTATGTACACACAGGTTTTTATAGTATTAAGAGATGATGTTTTGCATTTTTGTGGTCTCAATTGTAGTTATTTCCTTTTTCATTTCTGATTGAGCTTTTTTTGGGTAAATATAGTAAGAGATCAGTTTATTTTGAAGTCCACTTGGTTGTGGTGTATTATCTTTGGTTGTGTAGCTGAATTCAGTTTGCTAAGATTTTTTTTGAGTATTTTTGTATCTATATTCTTAAAGGATATTGGCCTGTAGTTTTCTTTTCTAGTTGTATTCTTCCCTGACGTTAGTATTAAGATGATATTGGCTTTGTAGAATAAAGTGCAAAGGATTTCTTCCTTCTCAATGTTATAGAATAATTTTTGCAGTATAGATACAAGTTAGTCTTTGTAGGTTTGGTAAAATTTGGTGCAAAATGATCTATCTGGTCTGAGATTTTTTTGTAGTAGCTTCAAGTTTTGTGCTTGAAATTGGTCTGTTCAAGTCATTTATTCCTAAATGAGCCTAGGGAGGTCATGTATTTCCAAGAATTTGTCTACTACTTCCACATTTAAAATTTTT